ACGTGCGCTGCTTTTGTGCTTATCTCGCTCACCTTTTGTCAAACTATTAGCAAAGCGTCTGCACAAAGCACACCATGCACAGTGGGCTGCATATGTGAACTGAACTCATATAATATGCTATTTAAATAGTTTGATAACAAAAATATGCCTAGTCCTAATAGTAAAACATATCAAATGTATCTGCTGTAAGAAATTTATAGAAAAACCTTTTCTGCTTAAAATACCAAAACTTAAATAAAATTATGTAAGTCATTTTTCCTAATTCAAGACCTGCTGTAAATCGAAACCAAGTTTTCATTATATTAATTATCTTGTATCTTTTACTCAAAGAACTGCTGCATCTCGATACGAAAATTAAATTGGCTTGAGTTATATAAGTTGATGATTTGCTGTCGCAAATGGATACCGGAACATGATTTCTTTTACTTCAGGACTTGCTGCAAATCGTAACCAAACATTGACTTATATAGCTGTGTGATTTGCCATCGAGAATGCAATTTGGTGTATCATTTATTTTACCCCAAGACCTGTTGAAACACTAAACCAAAATTCAATAACATCAACTTATATAACTTCGTGATCTGCTATTGTAAATGGAATACGGAATATTGTTTGTCTTACTCCAAGACCTGCTGAAACTCTAAACCAAAATGTAATTACATTGGCTTATATAATTTTATGATTTGCCCAACAGAATTGAATTCAGATAATCATTTCTGCTGCTCGGAAATGGAAACCAGAGTTTAATTAGATAGACTTGCATCATCTTAGCCTCCCAGACATGACGAAACTGGAGACCAAGGTTTAATTACGTTGACTTATATAAATTAATTATTTGCTGGCAAGCGAAAATGGCAACTAGATTGAGTTTAATCAGACGCAGCAGCTGCTCTTCCATTGTCGTCTATCTCTGCACTCTACGCTATCAATTTCTATTGTCTTTTGCGACATTTGTCGCATTGCAAATATTTCATTGCATACTTTTGTGCGGTCGCCATGTTGTGTGCAGCAAATTTTTGTTGCGCAATTTATTAGAGCATGTCCACACACACACACACCCCCCTCCCCCTGTCCGCTGCACAGGTAAATGCATTGCAGTTAGTCTGGCTAGAGTGTTGAGATATTATTATTTGTCGTTTGGCTGGGAATTTTTATATTGGCATTGAATTTCGTTTTGTCGAAATTGTTGCCAATATTGGAAAACTAAATATTAGCAGGCTGCTCAATGTTTAACAAAAGGTGCGCCAGCCAGAAGAGACTTCTGTTTTGGTGGCAGGCAGGCACGATGGAGTGGATGAAGGGGGTGGGGAGGGTGAGCCAGCTGCAGCAGCGTTTCAATGGCGATTTTCATTTTCAGCCGCCGGCAACGGAAGTCAACTTACTTTCGTTGTCTGCCAGCAGCAACAACAACAACGAGGACAACGAGAACAACAAGACGACGTCTGCGTCTCTGTCTGCTGCTTTCTGACCCTGAAATGTCTGCTTTGGAAATACACACTGCTGCACAGCTACAGCTGCTCCAGCTTCAGATCCAGCTCCAGCTCCAGCTCCAACTCCAGCTCCAGCTGTTTGTCTGGCCGCGCCGCTTGGCTGGCCATTGTGTTGCAGTCACTGTTGCAGACGAGCTTGAAGCGCCAAAAGCAGCGCCCAAAATTTAAAGTCGCGACTGTTTGCTTAACATTACGCGTAGACAGCCGAAGCCGTGCCCCCCAACCAAGTCAACCAACCGCCCCCTTATTCGCCCAAAATCAAACACATTTTGCTGGCACACATGCGACCAGGCAGCAACCCCCAGTGGTACTTGAAAATGCAGTCGGGCTACTTAGAGAGCTATTTTTTTAGCATTCTTTTTTTTTTTTTGGATTCCAGGGGTTGCTGCCAGCAGCAGGCGCTCTCAGCTACAGTGTGTGTGTGTGTGTGTGTGGCAAAGCTGTAAACAAATGAGAGCCTGGGCCAACTTAATAACTAACGCATTATTTGCTGACTGCCTGCAGGAGGAGTCCTACCAGCAAATAGTTTTGTGGCCAGCCAGGAGACGTGCATATATATAAATATATATATATATGCACAAAAAAGGACTCGTCTCCTTAATAAGCAATACTTAAGACTTAATGCAGGGCATCAAATATGCGCAGCATTTACCTCAACGAGCAGCTCCATTCTTGAAGCGCTGCGCCTGGCGGGCTGGTAGGGGGGCGGGGGGAGCAGCCCCATAAGGGTTGTCCCGTCGCAACCGCAGCGCAGGCTCCCTTTTTATTTATTTTTTTTGTCGGTTTTCGTCGTGATTTTTGATTTAAGCATAATTTTGCAAAATTCTCGTCGTTTGGCGGGACGTCCTGCTGTGTCCTGCTGTGCGCGCTCTTTGAAATATTTCCCAACATTTCTTCAAGGGATTTGCGCAATTTTCCCTTTTATTCCCCCCCATTTTTTTTCAAGCCCCCTTTTTCATAATGTTGTCTGTCTCGCATTTAAATGCTTGGCAAATAAACAGGCAACATTTTGCAGCATTTCCATTGCCATTTTCCATTTTCCATTTCCATTTCAATGCGTTTCGTTGTCTTGAGATTCTTGTTACGCTTCGTTTCGCTCTCATCTCATTTCCGACTCCTGGCAACGCGGCGTATGATTAATGCCACGAAAAGGTCAACAGAGCAAAAAAAAACAGAGCAAAAAAAAACCCCGTTTAATAAATGACATCAAAAATTAAAACTCGCTGCCAGCGCGTAAATCAAATTTCTATTTGCACACAGATACCAATGATACGCATCTATCCAGATACATATATATATATATATGCACTCACACACACACACACAAGCACATGCTCTAGGTGTGTGTGTTTGCGACAGGCCAACCTAATTTGACAGTCGGCCAGAAATAACTCAATTAGTGACGCGACCTTTTTGCGACCCTGCTACAAGATTTCACAAGGCCCAAACACAAACTGTTGGAACAAATATATATATACATCTAGATATATATATATATATATATATATGTGTATAGGTATTTATAAAAAAGGGCAACCCTATCCGTGACGTTGTTAGCGGTAACGAATTCGTGGGCTGAGACCTCTAGACCTTGGCTCGAGCAAGGCCACTTGACTTTTTTTTTAATGCGACATCTGAAGTAGCCGTACGTGTAGATACCCTGCCCGAAAGCTCATAGAGTTGCTTGCTATCATACTCTTCAATTGCATTCAGACTGTCTTGCATTCAGATTCAATTTTAACTCAAGTTGAATCGAAGTCTTCTGGAAATTTCCAAGTATTTTTTTTGCTTAAATGAATGTTATATTATATTATGGAAATTAGTGAAGCTTCAATTAAGTAAAATATTTAACGTAAATTTGATCGCCAGCCAAAATGTGATCTAGCCAAGTTTTAGTTATTTATCCTTTAAATATAGTTTATTTTCCATATTTCTATTATCTATATTATCCTCGCGCACATATTGTGAGGCTATAAAGCGAGTTGATTGAGTTAGCTGCTGCTTTGCGCCCAAGCCAGGTCGAAGATAAACATGGACTCTACGCTTTCTAGGCATGAACTTGTTTTTGTGTACTCAAAATTTGCATTTGCATAAGCTGCTGCCCTGTTGCCTTGGCATCAATTTGGCATCGCTTACAGTTGGCAAACATTCACAGCGCTGGCATTATAATGCTCGAAACACACACACACACACACACTGAGAGTGAAATTGGGGTGCACACTTTGAGCCCCAGCTAGCCCAGCTCCCCTCCCCTGCTGGGGCTGCATTTTCAGACCGGGGCGCACAAAAGTGTGCTATGGCAATGTAAGAGGCCTCGACATGAGCGTTGCCCGGAATAAAAACTCAACTTCAAAAGACCGCCCACGGCAATTTTCAATTAAAATTCGCCTACGCGAATGATATAGAAATTTTTCGGTTTCATTTTGGGAGAATTGTGTAAGAATGCCGCAGGATACTGCGTTGGTTGTTTGGCGGTGTGCTCTTGCCTTGGCAGACGGCCGCGGGCTCTTTCCAAGTTGTGCCCGAACAATTTTTGATGGCACGACATGAGATTGCACTCAAGATTTGACAGCGCCGGTGTACATGTGTGTGCGTGTGTGCGTATGTGTGTGTGTGTACTCTTACAAGAGTGGAGCTCTTAATATGGCCATCAGCTATATGTCAAGCAGACTGCGTATGTCAGGCGTTCACAGAACAAGCGAATGTCCTGGCCCTGGTTTTGGCGTGCCAGCCAGCTTGAGTAGTGCTCAAAAACGCAGCTAAATGCGGTCGAGTATGCTGTTGTCTAGCCCCTTGTTAGCTTCATGTGGATAGTTTTCACATAAAGACTAAAGCTCTTGCAGCCCTGGCTTTGCGCTCTATGCTGTTGGCTAACCTCTTGTTAGCTCTGCTTTAGCTGAAAAGTGCCCTCCACTAAGATTTTAAGCCGGAAAAGCAATGTTAGCCCTGGTTTTGTATGGTAGCCTAGACTATAGGCACAGGTAGGCGTTTCATATATCTTGTAATTTATTTTAAAATCAGCTAAGAACTGCTCTGTTAAGTTATCTTAAGTGTAGGTATACAGCGCTGTAGATTAGAGTTCATTGCAGCCCTGGCGTTGTATGACAGCCCAGGGCTGAAGTACAGCTTAAGGTACTTAATTACTGTAGCTTGTATTTCATATTTCACTCCGTTAAGCAGCCCCCTCATTGCTTAACAGCTCTGTTCTACTTGTGGCTGCCAGTGTAAGCGAATTGCAACCCTGGTTTTGTATGACAGCCATGCTTCAGGCTAAAGCTATGGTGTTTTTTGTTTTATTTCCAAATATCAGCAAACAGCTCAGCAGCTGTTTTTTGAATGCCTTGGTCCATATCTTCAGGCATATCAGCTGCATATTAACAAAAATATATAGCATTGAGTGTGCCCAGATGTCAAATAAGTATGCATATTATGTAACATGTTTTCACTTTTAGTTAAGGTAAATCCCCTTTTGATAACACTTGCACTTACTGTCATTTCCATACTTTACAGTCACGCACATCTCTAGTCTCCAGCTCGGAGGGCGGCATTTTGGCCGAGGGCGAAACATCCAGCGAGGAGAGCTCCCGTGATTCCAGCGACAATTCGCCGCCCTGTGATTTGGGATTGATGGAAAGATTGCTGCTAACGCATCCCATGTGGTTTCTGCCCGGCATTCAGCGTTCCGGTGCCGTGCACTTGCTCCAGGGCAAAGAGGAGGGGGTGAGTGAAAGCTAACGATAATTATCCATTTTATTGATTTCGTTTAATGAGACAATTGCCGGCGTATGCAAAATATATGTAAATAAACAAATTGCGGGCTCACGTCGGGCAGCGGGTGAATAAATCAGCAAACACATGTGACCACAAAATTTGCACACAATTTGCAAACCAAAGATAAAAACCAGTATGAAAAAAAAATGCAAAAAAAAAAAAAAAAAAAAAAACATAATAACATTGCATACAAACAGGCGCATTTACATATACAAATTGCAATCAATTAACGTGTATCTGCAGAGAGTGGGCGTGGCATGTGTGTGTGGGGGGATCGGCAAATCGGGCTTCGTGGTGCGTGTCCTGTACAAATACACACAGATTCATTAATATTACGACAGCGACAACAATGCGAAGCCCTTTTAATTGTAAATGTATAAAGATAAACAAAGAAATGTTGCCAGGACTCGACCAGGACTCGGGCTGCGGCTGCTGCGCTTGCAAATTCATTGAAATTTATCCTGGCTACCAGCAAAAGGCAGACTACACTGGTGCGGGCACCCAAATGGTGGGGCCACATGACAAAGGCGACGAGAGACAATAGCCAACCTATGGGATTTGCAGAGCGTCGTCTAGGTGGGAGTTCGTCCTGTGGGGCTGGGCGCTGGCTGCTGGTCATTTTGTGATTCAAGGCGCTTTGCATAGACAATTGAAATGACGTCGATGCGGACGCAGAGGAGAACAGAAGAAACGCCCAACAAATTGTACAGATTCAATAAGTTGCCAGGGCCAAGTCGCTGTTCTGCCGAGCAATTATCACGTGTAGGGCAGACAGCCTGGCTGGCAGGATAACAGGCAAATGGATTCAACGAATGCTTCATCGAATCGCCCGAATGCCAGCTAAATTGCTTGCCATTTGTTACCCCAAGCCGGCGCACTACACTCAAGTGCCACGGCCCGTCAGGGGGGCGTGGCAAATGCATCACAAATTGAAAATTATATGCCAACATTTATATAAACGAGCGCACATCTCCTTTGGCACGGGCACGGCTCAAGCATGTGGCAACTAGGGTCTTCTCTAAAAACTGGTAGAAACATATAAAGAATAATATACGAGCTTTTAAGCATACAGCGAATATATATGCACAATTGGGGAATCTCTTTTATATTCAATTTTAAATAATTTACGAACTATTTTTGTTTCTTTTACCTGTGAACGTTTTTTGCTTTATTTGCTGTCATACCTTGAACTCTGCCAGAGAACTCTATATTGAATTTACTTGGAAACAGCTTTTAGAGTTCAAATTGAATTATTACAAATATTACCAATTGCTTTAAATAATTCCAGAAGGATTTCAGGAACCTTTAAAAGTCAGTTTTTATCAATTTCACAATTTAATTATTCACAAATAATTTAATTGATATTGTTTTCATTATTTACTTAACATAAATGCAAAGCAATTAACGCAGCTTTTTGTAACGAAAAACGCTGCGTAAAAATTCGTATTTATTTTCAATTTTTCATTTTCAATTTAAAGCACATTGCCTTGCACTCATAAAGCCCATATTGAATTAAAGTTAAATTGTTTGTGAAGTCATTTTTTGAAGCAGTTCATTGTCTATATTTTAATGCCATATCAAATTTAGTTCGGGACCAAATACCCTGTAAAGTAGGGCTAGATACGAGGTTTATGCCACACTTGCCCACTTGAGGCTAAAAATTTAGTGCGCCGCCTAAAAGCATGCAACGGAAATTTCAATTTCGAACTTTTCCTGCGCCAAGTTTGGTTTTGCGTTTCGCCAAGTTTTGCACGCATTGTGAATGCAAAACTTGAAATTGTCGAGCACTGAATATTGAGCACGGCACGCGACGACCAGCTACTGCAGCAGTCCGTACGGCACACACAAAAAAAAGAAAGAAAGAAAGGAAAGAAGAAAAGTGAAAAGCGTTTTTCAGCTTGGCAATTTTCAATTGTCGAACGCGTCGCAACAATGGCGCATTGATTGCAGCATATTGGACTGGCGGGCGGGTCTGTCAGCTGCTCCTTGCTTGGAAGGGGCAAAAACTTTTCACTTTTTTGCCAACTGCTGCACCTTTAGTCCTGCAGCCCGTCTCCCTCTTTCTCTCTCCTCTCTCTTTCTGGCTCTTCTCTATTTGCCTATTGAAACGCTAATTGCATGCGTCGGCGTCAGCGTCGGCAATTACACGCGCCGTCACTCCTTCGCCCCATGCATTCGAACCCCCTTACCGCCCCCCCCCCCTTCCGCCTGCTTCAGCCTCTAAACCCTCAACCGCTCAGCAGCAGGCCCATTAGGCGACTCCATTGCAGCAGTTGCCACGCATTTGTTTATGCGTTTAATAAAAAAGTATTTGCATAATTGAAATTGAAATTGAAGCAGCCGCTGCAAGTGGCCGCCCTGCCCCCTGCCCCGCCCTGATAGTCGATTGGATTTGACCCTCTGTGTAAACTGCATTGGTAAATGTTTGTAATTAAAAATCAATCAATATGTTTGAGCTGCGAATGCGGCTGCCGCAATGGGCATGGCTATGGCTGCCCATTTGTGGCAACACATGCGGCTGCAACAACAACAACAACAACAACAAGAGCAACCTTCAACAACAACCGTCGTTGTTTGCTTTGGTCCATTTGCCTGCCTGGTATTTTAATTACTTGTTTTGCCAGTTGTCCGGCGTTTCCATCTGTGCGTTTTCTTCTTTTTCCTTTTTCACTTTTCTCTCTCTCTGTCTCTCTCTCTCTCTCTCTCTCTGAACACTCTGCCTCGCCCACTCTCGCTTTCCTTCCCACGCTCTGCTGCCGTCTCCATCAATCATAAACAGTTCGAAGCTGAAGCTGAATCTGAAACCTGAAGTTGCCCTCCTGGTCACATGTGCGTGCAGCTCTCTTCTTGTTTTTTCCTGATTTGTTTAATACCCTGTAAAGTGGGCACCAGGCGGGCCATATAGAAGGCATTTTCAGCTATACATACATTAAATGTATCAGGACTACGATTCAGAAGTTCCGAACCAATTGCCTGACCTTAGATATTCTATTTGGGTTTTTTCTACTGTACAAAGATGGTTAAACAATAACATTGGCTGGGTTTTAAATTAATTGTACTTTGTAGTTGAATGTCCCTCAAAAGTTGTTTACATCGAAGCAAATCAATTTTGACAAAAATTAATCTGAGCTCGAGTCGATTCAGTTTCTCTTCCTAAACTTAGAAATCGCTGAACATTTTTCTACTAAGTTCTTAAATATCATTGTCTTAGCCAATATCTAGCTTAGACAAGGTAACTTCTAGTGCTGCTTGCCGGCTATGACTTTTTTTTGCTGTTTATTTTGCTCGGCATTTGGCGTCAGGGATTTGTTATGCCGACCACAAAAAGTAATTAGCAGCAAATGGCGACTGATGAAGGTCTTCACGTGTGCAGCATATTGGAATGTTGTTTTGCATGTTGCCACGGGCAGCGGCAACATCATTAGCCAAGTTGCAAGTGGCGCCCAAAGGTATGCAGCATACAGTAGCTATGTCCAACTATCTGGCAGGCACAATATTTGAATATGTGGTTGCATTTCGTGTTCTATTATTCTTTAAATTTTGTTTGAAAATTGCAGTTCGTTTTTTATTTTTGGGCTTGTTTAAATTGTTTGACTCGCATTCCCTTTGAGTGCATTTGATTTATGCGTCGGATTCATTGCATAGCCACAGGCGCCAGCCCAAAATGAACTTGTTAAGCTGCAGCTAACGCCAAATGCATGACCACCCCCCACACTCGTTCCCCTTCGATTCGACCCACACCAGACAGCGCTTTGGCTGCTTAAATGGCCAATAGGCAAGCGAACAAAGCAATCAAATTGAATTTTTTCGACCATGGCTATGGAATTTTTCGGCTTTGTCGCTTGGCATGTGCTCCAATGTCAAAGGGGGGCAGGTAGAGGGAGCAGGGGTCGTCAGCTTACATGGCAAAAAGTCAGCATTTCCCCCTCCCCCCCTCCAAAAAAAAAAAAAAAAAACAGAAAATAAAATAAAACACAGCAGCCCAAAAGAAAGCAACTGTAGCAGCCACATAGGCGCAGACAGTTTTTATTTATCACCCGCAGTGCAGGGCTAAGCGAGAGGATAGGTCTTTTAAGGAGTGTGGAGGAAGAGGGGGGGAGGGGGTTGTGCTGCAAAGGGGTTTGGGCATGCCATCAACAACAGGCGTTGGAACAGTAGCCGTCGCAGCGGCAGCCACAGCTGATGAGCGATAAGGCCGCAGACAGCTGCAGTGTGGGGGATCACATGTGTGCAAGTGTGTGTGTGTGTATCTGTGTGCAAGCAGAGACATTCGCACATTTGGGGGTAAGTCCAGATGACAACCAAAGCGAAAGCCAAAGCCAAAGCCAAAGCCAAAGGGTTGCTAGCGACACCATATAACATAAAACAGACAGAGCCGCACAATTTGGTAGGGAGTTCCATTGAGCAGCACTCATAAGTTGGATAGTTAACATACCATAAACACAGCTGGAGAGCTGCCAATTTATGCGAATATCCTGCAACATAGCTGGCTGGGCTTTCATATAAAGTCCTTTCGCTGTCTTCACATTTATTGCCCAACACATTTTACTGCTTATTTAAGAGGGCCTCCCATGGATTGAGCTCGGTTTTGAGCTTGAAGTTAGTTTAGAAAAGTTGGCTACACGAACGGGGAATACTTGGTATACTATTGCTCTGAGAATGGCAAATATCAGCTAGTCTTTAAGCATAAGTTGGTAGCTTAGGAAATTCGCATGACTTCCCTGAGACTGTTGCTCTTCTTTTGAGCACAGCGAATGCTTCAATCAAGTCATCTAGAGCTAGACTGATTATCTAATCTCAGGAGCTGGACGATTGCTAAAGAAATGTGGCACTGTCTCTTTTCCTTCCACGGGGCAGCAAGTTGTTTTAGAAGGCTAAAGGTCTGGCGGCATCTTATCAATCCTCTATTGGTTTTCTGTGCTAAAAGTCATCTTTGAACCCGGCTGAGG